GGAGCCTTCAGATAAAAGGTGAAAAGAGGAAGGCCAGTAACTGGAGAAGCAATGTAGAAGGTGTCGAATTAGATGTAGCCTGAACACTGAGGCCAGCAAGCTGTGCTGAGAGAGAGCACCAAGAGGATCTGGGCCTGGGAGGGAAGCTCTTCTACCTGCCCAAAATCCGTAAGCACATAGGACAGCACACCAGGGAAAGACAGTGCAACCTATGAGAAGGAATGTCACCATCAGAAGGGTCAGCCCTGGAAGAAAAGTGGTGACAATTCCCTTGGGGCATGCCTTACAGAGCAATTTGCTCATCAGAGAAGTCATAATAGGGGTGAGGCAGATTCCAGGCTTTTCTTTTTTTACAAGGCCTAGCCTCCTTTCCCTCTTTACTCCCTCCTGCAGGTGATCGAACGGCAAACATTAGAAGCCTCAGACTTGGCCTTCTATTTGGAAAACTATAGCTCTTCCTATGACTATGGAGAAAATGAGAGTGACAGCTGCTGTGTGTCCTGTCCACAGGATTTCAGTCTGAACTTTGACAGGGCCTTCCTCCCTGCCCTCTATAGCCTCCTCTTTCTGTTGGGGCTGCTAGGCAATGGCATCGTGGCAACTGTGCTGCTGAGCCAGCGCGCAGTCCTCAGCAGTACTGATACCTTTCTGCTCCACCTGGCTGTGGCTGATATACTGCTGGTACTGACACTGCCACTCTGGGCAGTGGCTGCTGCTGTCCAGTGGGTCTTTGGCTCCATCCTGTGTAAAGTGGCAGGTGCCCTCTTCAACATCAACTTCTATTCAGGGGCTCTGCTGCTGGCCTGCATCAGCTTTGATCGCTACCTGAACATAGTGCATGCCACCCAGCTCTACCGCCGGGGGCCCCCAACCCGTGTGACTCTTACTTGTGTTGTTGTCTGGGGGCTCTGCCTGATCTTTGCCCTCCCAGACTTCATCTTCCTGTCAGCCCAATATGACGAGCGACTCAATGCCACCTACTGCCAGCACAACTTCCGGCTGGTAGGCCGAAGGGCTCTGCAGGGACTACAGCTGGTAGCTGGTTTCCTGCTGCCCCTGCTAGTCATGGCTTACTGCTATGCCCGTATCCTGGCTGTGCTACTTGTCTCCAGAGGCCAACGGCGCTTGCGAGCCATGAGACTAGTGGTGGTAGTAGTGGTGGCCTATGCTCTCTGCTGGACCCCCTATCACCTGGTGGTGCTGGTGGACACTCTCATGGACCTGGGGGCCTTGGCCCGCAACTGTGGCCGAGAAAGCCGGGTAGATATAGCCAAATCAATCACCTCAGGAATGGGTTACATGCACTGCTGCCTTAACCCACTACTCTATGCCTTTGTGGGAGTCAAGTTCAGAGAGCGAATGTGGATGCTACTCATGCGCCTGGGCTGCTCTAACCAGAGAAGGCTCCAGCAGCAACCATCATCTTCCCGCAAGGATTCATCCTGGTCTGAAACCACAGAAGCTTCCTATTCAGGCTTGTGAAGCTGGATGGGTATGCCCTTTTACCCATGTACCCTAATCCCCTACACACATTCCCATGCACACATGCACACACTCAGGGTCCTCCCTCCCTCGACTGCTGAGCTGGCTCTGGCTGTCCCACACCTTGCTTCCGGAACTCACTGGCAGTCCCAGAACAGTGGGAATGGCTCCACTGCTGTTCCTTAGCTATAAATCCCCATCCTGCCACTTCAGAGATGCCTGCCTGGGTCGCTAATGCTCTTCTACTTGCTAATTAGTAAGTAGAGCTTGGCCTTCCCCATATGCAAGGAATATGAGACAAACAGCAGAGGTCCAGGCCTCTGCTTCAGCCTAAGACTTTTAATATGGTCCCCAAGACTTTTCCATTTGCTCTCTGTTCACCTTTAACCAAAATTATGCTTAAAACTTTTCAATAAAATGCTAATTGGACCAAGGTATACTGGCAGTCATTATTCTAGTCAATCCTGACTGAGCTCAGGAATGCTCTTCCTGCTTCTCCCTGTCTGGCCCTCTGTCTGTCAGCCCATCCTGCCTATTAACATTTCTGTAGCTTTTTCTCTGCTCTTCTTGGCACTCTTTTGCCTTCTGTTGGGATCCCTTATTACCTATCTGGTGGTGCTGGTGGGCACCCCCATGGGCCTGGGTGTTGACAGTGAGCAATGAGCAGCTGGCTGTTTGGACAATCTGGTCACACTCTAGTGAAGGGACCACCAAATGTATGACTTAAGTCCCTGTACTCTAAAAGTTCAGGCTAGCAGAAAAGGTGCATTGAAAAGTAGTAATACCAACTGGGTATCCATATGCAGAAAACTAAAAGTGGATTCCAGTTTGTCATCATGCACTCATATCAACTCAAAGTGGATCAAAGACCTCAACATCAGACCTGAAACTTTTAAATTACTGCTAGAGGGAGTAGGAGAAACATTAGAATGCATAGACATAGGCATAGGCAAAGGCAGAAATTTTTTGAAGAGTCCCAGGGGCACAGCAGATAGAAGAGAGACTTGAAAAATGGGATTACATCAGAATAAAAAGTTTCTGCACAGCAAAGGACATAGTCACTAAACTAGAAAGATAGCCAACAGACTGGGAGAAGATCTTTACCAGCAATATATCAGACAAAGGCTTAATATCCAATATATACCAGGAGCTGAATAAACTAACCTCTCCCGAAGCTAATACATCAATTACTAAATGAACAAAGGAACTAAGGAAAGACTTCTCAGAAAAGGTAAGAATAGCAAAGAAACACAGGAGAAAATGCTCATCATCCCTAGCCATAAAGGAAATGCAAGTCAAAACAAATCCGACATTCCATCTTACCCTTGTGAATTCAAGCAACAACAAATGTTGACAAGAATGGGGAGGGGGAAAGGAACCCTATTGTACTGTTGGTAGGAATGGAAATTAGTACCACCACTCTGGACAGTCTAGAGGTTCCTTAAAAAAGTTAACCATAGATCTTCCCTACGACCCATCCATACCACCACTCCTGAGTATCTACAGAGCCAAATTCACAAGCCAGGATACCATAAAGACACTTGCACATCCATGTTCATTGCTAAACTATTCACCATAGCCAAGCTATGGAAACAGCTAAGGTGCCCTATAATAGATGAGTGGGTCAAAAACTGTGGTACATGTATACATGGTGTTTTACTCACCCATGAGAAAGAAAATGATTATATCATTTTCAGGGAAACAGATGGACCTAAAATAAATCATATTAAGTGAAGTAAGCCAAGCTCAGAGAGACAAATGGTATATGTTTTCTCTCGTATGTGGAAGCTAGAACTAAAACACACTGGGACATGATAAATTATGCAAGACTTTAGGCGTTCACACATAGTGAGACCAAAGGAGGATATTGTTAGGAGAGGAACAAAAAGGCTTAATACTTGTACATCTCACCATAAAAAAAATATTTAAGATTGAAATGAACTTCAAGAAATGGAAACAAGAGTGTTTCTTGTTGCTGTTTTTGTTTTCTTTGTCTTGTTTGTTCATTTATCTGTCTTTGGGAGGAAAAGGGCAACACAGAAATGAATGGACAAAGGCTGAACAAATGTAGCAGTGGTACTCACTAGACATTTTGTTGAACCATATATCTTGTGGATGGGATGTTAGGGAAAAACTTGGAGCAAGGGAATGGGGTGGCATTGTACAAAAAGACCTAATTTATGTTAACTGTAACCCCTCTGTATATCACCTTTATAATAACAATAAAAAGTAGTTAATACCCAGCCACCTGTGCCACAAGGCATAGTGAGCCCAGGACTCAAAGCATGAATGTTGGGGACCTTTGGTGTGCATCCTGGAGACCTGGAGGGCAAGTATCATTTCCAAGGGTGAAAAGAAGACAGTACTTCTCGTCAGAAGGGAGCATAGTAGCAAAGATGGAAAGGCTGAAAAGGGCAATGCATATTGGGGGAGCATTATCAGTGGTCCCAACTGGCTGCACTTAAGGGTTCAGACAGAGGAAAGGTTGAAAATAAAACTGAAAGGTAGTTTGAGATCATGTGATGGACCAAAGTTTGGTCAGAAAGTTGTGTGGGTCATTCAAGTGACATGAGAGGTGATGCAGGTTCTTACTATGGAAATGGCATTGGGCTTAAAGAAAAGCAACAGGGCTGTCAATAACTTACTAACAGTCATTGACATGTAGGCCACTCAGTAAAGTTGTTGGGACCATTTTTCTACAGCAGGTGCTGGGGCCTCTGTCAGTGGAGGAAAAAACTGGAGCATGACCCATTCTGACTGGCAGCTGGGCTACATAGCAAGACTTTCTCAAAACACACACACACACACAAACCACTACCACCACCACCAACAACAACAAGATATGGTAAAAGGAACTGAGGTTGCTAACCAGCTGATTTTAAAATAAGATTTTTCTGGATTAATTGGACCCAATGTTATCACAAGGTTCCTTAGAAGTAAAAGAGGGACATAAAAAGGGGGAAAAAGGGGGGGCCTGGGGAATGTAGCTGTGGAGATGGGAGGGAATGGAGGGTAGGGGAAAAACAAAGGAGGAGACAACAATGCTTGATAAGAAATGTACTCATTACCTTGCTCATGTAATTGTAACCCCTCTGTACAGTATTTTCACAATAAAAAACTTATTAAAAAAAAGAAAAAGTAAAAAGTAAAAAAAAAATAAAAAATAAAAGGGAAAGAAAAGATGTTTCTGGCTTTTAAGGTGGAAGAAGGAGCTATAAATCAAGGACTGTGGGTGGCCTCTGGGAGCTGCAAAAGCAAGGAAATGGGTTCTCCCCTGGAACCTCCAGAAAAGAACATAGTCCAATCAACACCTTGATTTTACTCTAGGGTATCTCATTTCAGTCTCTTGATCTCTAGAAATGTAAGAAAATACATCTGTGCTATTTTCAACCACTATGTTGTGGCAATCAGAGGAAACAAATGCAATATTGAGTTCAATCCACATCCTGGATATCATCTAAATATAAGGAATATACTGAAACTTTTGTGGTCAGTCACAGAAATAAAAAAACACAGAGTGAAATGCAGAAAACATTTATTTTTTCGTAATTACATGGCCCAGATAGCTTCACTCAAAGTCACCAGAAACTCAACTCACAAAACATGTTTGCTTTTTCCACACAGGGTAAGTGAAACAGGTTATTGTATTAGCAGCCCTGATTGTAAAGTGCTGCAATGTTTTCTCTTTCCAGTATTGTTCTCATTCTCTTAATCCACCATTCTTGAAACCAGACAGCTTCACTCAAAGTCATCAGCAACTCAACTCATAAAACACATTTGCTTTTTCTATGTGGGGTAAGCGAAACAGGTTATATGCACTAGCAACCCTGACTGCAAAGTGCTACAACTTATTCTCTTTCCACTCATTCTTGAACCTTACTTTTCTTCTGTTTTGTTCTACATGTTAAAGATATGTAAAGTTAACACCTAAGGTACACCTAAAGGGCTTCAGACTGGTTAGCCCTCAGTCAAGAATAACCGTCAATAATAATATGAACCCAAAAACGTACTTAAAATTCTACTCTTAACAGAAACAGATTTTTTTCTAAAAATTTCTGGTTAGTAAAAATTTCAGCTTATAAAAATGTACTCTAAAACAAGTTTAAGGATTTTTCTTTTTTCTCGGCAATATAATCCTTGCTCAGCTTTTTCATCACATCCCCATGGAAGTAATGGGGCATCTCATGCATCACCTTTCTGTAATTCTGCTTCACATACATGGCAAATGGTCTCACATAGGGCTGAATGGGGGTTCCATCTTTCCGCAGTAATGGAACCATGACAAGAGTGCCTTTGCATCTGGTGCAGAGAAAACGTTCGGTGTTCAATGATTTGGTGTAGCGGCCAACTCTAATAAGGAAAAAAGATAATCACACAACAAAGGAATGAGTCACTAAGCCTCACTATCATCTCCAACATGACAGCCGTGGGCTCAAAGCAATTTTTCTGAGTGTGGTATCCCTAGTAGCCACTGGAATCAAAAATCACTTGGATGTCAGAGTGAAAAATAATTGGAAAAAGTCTTAGGAGCAGGAGATTAGGAGGAACGGGGTTTAAGACCCTCATCTCAGTCAAAGAAACTGTCAAATCACCTACATGGAAAGCCATATATAGAAGGATCACAGCCCCAGGCAAAAACATGAGACCCTACCCGAAAAATAACAAAAGCAAAAAAGTGCTGGGATCATAGCTCAAGTGGTAAAACATCATCTACCTAGCAGGCTTGAGGCCTTGAATTGAAACCCCACTACTACAAAAAAAAAAAGTCTGAGAAAGGTCTTACCTGGCACTGCACTGAATACATTCATAATAAATTTTGTAGTTAATCCTATAGTTGTGGCACCGGGTGATCATGGGCAGCTCTGGGTGTATCTCATTGCATTTTTTAGCATAAAATTTCCATGAATCACCATGAGAATCTTGGACACCATCAATCAGCCAGGAAGCTACATGGCATATTTCATGTATTAAGGTATCCCGGATTCGAACTTGGAAGAGAAATGAAAAAACAACCATGAGCATTAAAACCAATGATCTTCTAGCCTGCTACCCAACAATCCCTTAATTTTCACCTCCACATAACAAAAAGGTATTGTGTGTGTGTGTGTGTGTGTGTGTGTTTTGTGTGTGTGTGCATGCGAGTGTGCAAGTTTGTGTGTAAAGGCAGTACTGAATGTAACCTTCCCAGGATTCTGAAAGTGAAACTTCCATCTACATCGAACTAATTTTGTTAACAGTAGAAGCTTAGGTGAACTGGTCTTTTGAGGAGCTCCCATGTGCTCATTTTTTAATAGGGCACTGCTAAAAGTATTTGTGGCAAGAGTTGGTTTCTTACCTCCAGACAGAAGGGGAGGGGAACAATTGCTAAAGTACAGCTATGGTGATCTGGTCAGGAAAGAGGTTCCGAGGTCAGATGTGGATCAAAGTTCAGCAAAATAAAATTTTAATGACTGATTTGATTTATAAAGAAAAATCATCCAAAACTGGGTGAGGGTATAATATGACTATAACTCAAGTGGATTTAGAAAGAAAAGTCATTCAAAACTGGGTGAGGGTAGCATATGACTATAATTCAAGCTACTTGGGAGCTGAAGCCAGACAATCACTTGAGCTCTAAAGCTTAAAACTATCCTGTACAACATAGCAAGACCCCATCTCAAAAAAAAAAAAGTTTCCACCGGCACTGGTGGCTCATGCTTGTAATCCTAGCTACTCAGGAGGCTGAGATCTGAGGATCATGGTTCAAAGACAGCCTGGGAAGGAAAGTCCATGAGACTCTTACCTCCAATTAACCACCAGAAAGGTGCAGAGAAAAGTTTAGGTCAAGTGGTAGAGCATTTTGTTCAGTAAGCGTGAGGCCTTGAGTTCAACTTCTAGTACTCAAACAAAAAAGAAAAAAGTAATAAAGCTGCCATGCTTATTACCTGCAGAGTCACAGACTTTCAAAGAAATATGAATCCTGGCATAGCGCTCCTTCTTCAGGTTCTGAATCTCATTTGCAATACACAAGCCAGCAGTGTGCAGCATCTTTTTATTCCAAATGATTTCTATTTTCTTTGGAAGCTGAGAATGAAAAGAAATCAGAAAATTCTAAGCAGACCAGAAACTAGTAATGAGATTTTTGTTGTTGTTGTTGTTGTGGGGCTTGAACTCTGGACCTGAGTGCTGTCTCTCAGCTCTTTCTGGTGGTTTATTGGAGATAAGGGTTTCATGGACTTTCCTGCCCGGGCTGGCTTTGAAGCACGATCCTCAGATCTCAGCCTCCTGAGTAGCTAGGATTACAGGCATGAGCCACCGACGCCCGGCTCAAGAGTTTTTCTTTAATGAAAAGTAAGACACTTTATTCTCTAGGTTCTTGGCTCAGAATAAGTTGGGGAGAAATCTATCCAAAAGGCACACAAATCTAAACATTCCAGGCAGAATGAAAGCCAAGCTGAAATTCAGGTAAGGACAATGCATAGGAAATGAGACAGGGAGTGCTGGAAAGGTGGCTCCGTGGTAGAGCGCTTGCCTTGCATGCATGAGGCCCTGGGTTCGATTCCTCAGCACCACATAAGCAAAAAGAAAAGAAAAAAAAGAGAGAGGAAATGAGACAGGGCACGGTGGCTCAAGCCTGTCATCCTAACTACTCAGGAAGTTTGGAAGGATTATGGTCTAACAGGTATAAAGCAAAAGGTATAAAGGACAAGACACTTTCTAAACAATAACTAAAGCAAAAAGGGCTGGGACTATGGCTGAAGTGGTAGAGCAATTGCCCAGCAAGCATGAAGTCCTGAGTTCAATTCCCAGTAAAATAAATAAATATCTCTCCCAAGCTGATTCCCAAAGTCACCTATTACCTGGTCCTTTACTACCTAAAACTAATAGAGCTTACTATGCCCTAGGCCCGATGGAAGGCCTCACACTTCTGAAGTAATAAGAACAATTGGCTCTTCATAGCCATGGATTCCAAATCATGGATTTAACTGCCTGCAGACAAAAAAATATTTTAAAAAGAAACAGCATCTGTTCTACATGTATCAATTTTCCCCTTACCATTATTCTCCAAGCAATAAAGTATGATTATTTGTGTACTGTTCTCATTGTATTCCCATTGTGTGTAATGTACAAATATTTAAAGTATATATGTAGATATGTAAGTTATAAACAAATACTGTGTCATTTTTGTAAGAAATTTGAGCATGTGGATTCTGTTATTTGATAGGACTACTAGGACTAGTCCCCTAAAGATATAAAGGGACAACTATATTGCTATTTGCTTCATTTTAGAGATGACAAAACAGGCAAACTGAGGTTAGAGACTTGCCTAAGTTCACACAGTTCTTTCTGATGATCCTTCAATTTGAACCCTCTCTTCCAGGTAGTGAAACCTCAAGACTTCTCCCTTGTCACTATTGTTCTTGCTACTTCAAAAACCAGAAATCTCACTTCCTCCAGGCCAACCTTACTTTCTGAATATTAAGGCTTTCAGTCATTCTTCCCCTGGTTGCCCACTGTAACAACCATCTTTCTCATATAGCTAAACTCCAATATAGTCTCCATTTCATATGCCCATCTCATCTTGCTATCAAAACTGACACTTCTCCAGGACATGACATGTATATGGTTTACACAGTATATAGCACTCAAGAATGATAGCATACAGGAGGTAGTCAAAAAATGCTTATTCACTGGTTCTACCTTGTCATCAAAGATGGTAGTATTAGCCAGTTCATAGATTCTCTGAGTCAGTTCATTTTTATTGTGCTTGAAATTCCTTCCCGAATATTGTTTTAACTTTTCAATTTCATGAAAGAAGCATCCAGGTATTTTGCATGTAGATTTCCTGCAAAGGTGAATTCAACTGAGTTTTACATAGCTAGAGAAATAAGTAGAAGGATTTATGCATAAAAGTCAGACCAAGAGAGACCGAAAACCTGCTACTACTTCTTCCTTCCAGCTCCTTATATAAGGGTGTTTCCCAAGCTTCCAATGGTTGCCTTTTCTCAGAGATATGAAGCCTAGTTTCAACCTCAACAGGACTGAGCCCCTTGCCCGCAGCTGTAGTCTCAAGCCATCCTGATATCTAACCTCTAAATTTGCAATTAATTGCCCAATGCAAATTTCCAACTCTCACACAACCTCCAGCACAATATGCTCAATTATCAAACTTCTGTTGTAATTGGTTGAAAACCTCAGAGGCATTTTTAATTCACTTTGATCTTTACTCCATGTTCAGCTGGGCACAGAGACAAACTAATATTTACTTCCTATCGTATCTTTAAGCTAGCTTCTCCTTCCCAAGCTCAAGTTCCTTTTCTCCCTGTTATGCTCTGATACAACATATTCTCTAACTATGCTTACTGCCAGGCTCTTTTACTTTTTTTTAGTAAGCTTTTTTTATTGTGAAAATACTGTACAGAGGGGTTATAGTTACATGAGCAAGGTAATGAATACATTTTTTTATCAAGCATTGTTGCCTCCTCCTTTGTTTTTCCCCTACCAGGCTCTTTTTCTTCTAATCTAACTCTAACACTCCTCCAGATTTGCCTTTCTAGGTCACATTCCAATTAACATACCCGTTTGATTTTCCATGACCACTTGGGCTGACATCCAAGGTCCAGGTATACCTGGTCCTAGCTTCTTATTTCTAGCTACCATTTTCACTGTGACCAAAGTGTACAACTCCAACATCCCTTGGACGCAAATTGTGATTTCTCACAAGCTCTGATTTCCCACACTCATGTAAGCACAACTTCTTTTCCCACAGCCTAGTTCCATTTCTATTGAGAACAACAATCTGCATGGATTTTGGTGGTGGTGGTGGTGGTGGCCATGGGGCCTGAACTCTGGGCCTGGGCGCTGTCCCTCAGCTCTTCAGCTCAAGGCTCTACCATTTGAGCCACAGTGTCACTCCTGGCTTTTTCTGCTTATGTGGTGCCAGGGCCTCTTGCATGCAAGGCAAGCACTCTACCACTAAGCCACCTTCCCAGCCGTTCCCACACACACACACCCCACCCCCGCCCCCTGCATGGATTTTTATCATTTGCAAAGAACTCCTTTGCATCCACATTTGTATTTATTGGTTGTGAGGAAAAAGGAAAAGTACTAGACAAGGCAAAGATTCTTCATCTCAAAGTCTGACATGGATCACAGTGGGCAATTATTTAATTTTGAAAGCAAATTTGCATCAGAAAAGGGGGCACAGGAGAACCTGAAGCATCTCAGGATTCAGCAAATAACATAATTCTAGTGTGTGCTCAAACAAAACTGGCTTTGAAAAATAAATTTCATCCTCAAGGCCTAAGTAGTTCACTGCAGGCTTATCATCCCCACATCAGAGGAACAAATAAGACTCTACTCTGGATACAACAGATCCTACAACCAGCAAGCAGACTGCATAGGAATAATACTAAATAAAACAGGAAGTCAAACACTGACAAAAGAACAGGAAAGAGTCCAAACAGGCTTCTCCTTTCTTTTGTCATAGTCTCTACCAAAGCAACCTAGATATGACCCAAGATATCCATCTCTATATGCAAAGTGATTTAATATGCACCTAGGAATCCAGAGAAGATACTTAAAATTGCTGAGGCCCCAATGCCTACCATGCTACATTTTCCCTTGGCCTTCTTTTTTTTTGGGGGGGTCCAGTCGTGGGGCCTGAACTCTGGGCCTGGGCACTGTCCCTCAGCTCTTCAGCTCAAGGCTAGTGCTCTACCACTTGAGCCACAGCGCCACTTCCGGCTTTTTTCTTTTTGCTGATGTGGTGCTGAGGAATGGAACCCAGGGCCTCATGCATGCAAGGCAAGCACTCTACCACTGAGCCACCTTCCCAGCCCTCCCTTGGCCTTCTTAAGATATATCTTTATGCAAAAACAAGAGTTAATAGTTATATACAGGATGAGAGTGAACTTTAGTAGTAGTGTTTGCCACACATGTATTAGGCCCTGGGTGCCATCATTAGAACTACAAAACAAAACAATGCAAAACAAAAAATGATCATAAATATACAACATAAAAGTCTTTATATTGCTTCTCTTGTATGGTAATTCAGATGTAAGTATGAATTAATCCTAAATAGAAGTAAAAACAAAGAGAGAATTCTGCTATTTAGAAAACTTCATAAGGGAAAAGTAAAAAGTTCCTGGAATCTAAGTGAAAAAAAAGAATATCTGGGGCTGGGAAGGTGGCTCAGTGGTAGAGCGCTTGCCTTGCATGCATGAGGACCTGGGTTTGACTCCTCAGCACCACATAAGCAAAAAGAAAAAAGCTGGAAGTCGCAATGTGGCTCAAGTGGTAGAGCATTAGCCTTGAGCTGAAGAGCTGAGGGACAGCGCCCAGGCCCCACGACCAGACCCAAAAAAAAGAAAAGAAAAAAAAAGAATGTCTGGATTGTTTTAATTATTACTATGTCTTTAACCTAAGTAATCAGTTATTTTCAGTAATAAGAGTTTAATAAAAATAAGGGAATGAAACTGAGTATGATGGCGTTTGCCTGTATATTTCTGGGATGCAGAAACAGGAGATTCTCCAGTTTGAGGCCAGCCCAGGCAAAAATAGCAGTAGGATGCTATGTAAAAACAAAATATTAAAAAAATGTGGAAATATAACAATGGAATCCTCTTCTATATAACTAGTGCAAGATAATTTTCAAAAAAAAAGGGGGGGCTTCAGAAGTAGATCGATTGTCTAGCAAGCCAGAGGCCCTTGGGGTCAATCCTTAGCACCAAAAATGAAAGTTGGTAGAAGGACTAAACCCAATTAATTTCACTATGTGATATTTGATCTTTGATATTTCACAGGAGATTGATGACATAGCTCAGTGGTGGAGTGCTTGGAAGAATGCAGAAGACCTGAATTCCATCTCCAAAATTGCAAACAGTAAAACAAAATAAAGGAACACAAAACAAACATAAAAATCTACATAGCAGTGAGTGACTGGGTTCGTAGAAAGCACTTGGAAAACCTGGAAGACATCCTTGACATCCCTTGCTCCAATTCCAGCAGGTGAAAAGAACAGGTCAGCCCTACCTTCTGGACACCTCCATTGCATTTGTCTTGATATAGAGCAAACTTGTGACCACCAGATTGTTCTTAGCTGAAAGAAGTCTCTCATTTGGCTACACACAAATCTATGAGCTGAATTTACAGACAAAGGAATCCTCAGAGGTCAGAGCTGTTGTGAGGGCAGAAAGGGCCTACTCTGCCAAGTAGCTGCAGGGATCTTGGCAGAATAGCCACACCCAGTCCACCACTAGGCTGCTGTACAAAAGAGGGAGGAGGGAAACTGGCAGGTGGCCTGTAGGCCCTGACATGTCTCTCCCCACTCAAGTTTTAGAAACCAAGCCCTGTTTCCCCAATGACACTCCTTTATCCTCTTGGAGATGCTTCCTGTACCAGTGGACTGCTGAACAGAGAACAAGGATGCAAATAATGCCTGTGTGATTACGAATGAACAGTACATACTCATTGCCACATTTTGCAGTGTTATCATTGCTGGGTATCTTCATTAAAATCTTAGGTATTTGTCCTCTGTCAACTGAAAGGATAATAAGAAAATTAGTACCATCAATCAAAGTTTGTACCATCAATCAAAGAGAAAAGTAAGCCCAGGAGGAGCCCCCACAGGACATCCATCCATCAAGAGACTTATGTATAAAAGTTGTGTATTGCTGCATATTGTCTTCTGGTTGACTTTGTCAATGGAATCACTGAAAACACCAGTACAGTGAGCTGGGTAAGCTCTGTCACAAGAACTGATGATTATGTCCTTAGAGGCTAGGTTATGTGGGCCACTGAGGCACACAGGGGCATAAGGAGTAGGATGATATAACTCATACCCTAGACAGTACCTTTACTTCTACCTTCATCTCCACTCACATTGCCACTAATTACCAGAGGATAAGAACCAAGAATAATTGTCACTCCTTTCTTTACTTAAGGAATGTAATGGACACTGTTACATGCAAATCATCTATCTAGAACCTAAGAGAGACTTTAGTCTCACTTAAGATGAAGATTCCTCCTGTGAAGAAACTACTGGGAGAATAGACTAAGGATCATTATTCAACACTGAAGAGATTCTAAAAGATTGAGAACCCAGGAGGGAGGACCAGCTGTAATGTATGGCTTCATAGAGAATCTGCCAATATCATGAAGTCTTACAAAAAAAATGGGATAAAGTTCAAAAACAGATGGAGGAAGGAAGGAAGAAAGGAAGGAAGGAAAGGAGGGAGGAAGGAGGGAAGGAGGGAAGGAGGGAAAGGGGAAGGGAAGGAGAGGGGAGAGAAGGAGAGAGGAGGGAAGTAGAAAAGGTGGAAATGAGAATGGAAGAAAAGAAGAAAGGAAGAAAGGAAGGGAGAAAGGAAGGAGAAAAGAGGAAAAGGAGAGAAAGCAGAAGGAAACAAAAATAGAACCCTCAGGGAAAAAAAAAGATCAAGAGACAAAGCACTGCAGGGAGGTGTAGGAAAAAAATAATAAAATACTGAAGCATGAATACATGCAGAAATATTGTAATGGTTTGCATGTATAATAAAATATAATGAAACTTTTTAAATTTGTTTTAGGAAAGGAAGAAAAAAGATAAAGGAGTGTGGTAGATGAGATTGATGGGGAACACATTGTATACTAAAACTGTAAAATATTTAAAAAGGGAAACACACAGATGCTCCCATATTTCTAGAAAGATCCTTTCCACTAGGGTGGCCAAATCTAATTGTTCTTACCAGCTTGCTCTAATAGTTCAGTTTATAGGCAGGACAGGCAGCCTGGAGCCTTACCACAGGCACACCAAGCAAATAAATCACAGCAGATACACTTGGCCAAATGGCTACAGGCCTTGGGAAAAACATACTTGGCTAACAGGTATCACACATATTTCATTTTCCTTCCTTTTCCTTGGTCACTGTACTTCACACATAGAAACTTCATCAGCTAACAACTTTTCACCAGTTATATCTAACCAAGCCTCAGATTTTGGCCAAGATTTTCACCAAGATCCTGCTTCTCAATGTTATTATCAGGTGAATTGTAATGTGAGACAGCAAATCCATCCACCTCACTTTTATTTGAGAAAACTTGACTGACAATTCTATTAGCTCAGGAGTATACAAACTGTTAAGTTCATTGTCTCTAATTTGGAGGCTCCACAGTTGCTGCTGTGGTAAGAAATGGATCTGCAGATCCACATTCTGCACATGGAGAGAAAAATGGTAGCACTGGTTACCAGGAGATTATAAACCCCAACTTTGTCTACTGGGATTCAAAACTGCTAGTGACTAAGGCTTCAGAGCTCACCTACTACTCTAAGAAAGAAGTATACTTGCCTTCAGTGCTTATAGTGCATATCATATATTTGGTCATTTGGAAATTTTCTTCACCACATTCTGAGTCGATCTTCATATTCCTAAGCAATAGAACATGAAAAGAAAAGAAATAGAAATCTAAATACCTATTCTCTTCATAGCATCTTCTAGAATAATTAACTTCTTGCCAGTATTTGGTCTTTTCCCCACAGTAATTCAGTTTCCTTCTTGTAACTATTCAGACTTTCCATTACTCCTGATTTTCTATCTTTCTATGCACTTTTTCCTTTTTTTGCCAGTCCTGGGGCTTGAACTGAGGACACTGTCCCTGCTTCTTTTGGCCAAGGCTAGCACTCTACAACTTGAACCACAGTGCTGTTTCTGGCTTTTTCTGTTTATGTAGTACTAAGGAATCGAACTCAGGGTTTCATGCATGCTAGGCAAGCACTCTACCACTAAGCCACATTCCCAGGCCCTATCTTTCCCTTTTTGCACATACTTTCTAAAGTAGATATCTGTTCTGTGTTAAGTATAAACTGGGCACTCTCTCAGCAGTACTGGGGGAAAAAACAGGGCAAGGAAAATCTACAAATAGACATGCAGTTGTATGACAAAGATAGAAAGCAACAGTTGAGAGAGTGTACCTTACAGCACATAGGTTTTCTCAGCATCACTCTGCAGTCAAAAGCCCACTCTGATAGCAGGGTTTCACACGTAGCACACAAATTTCTCTGCCATTGCTCAGTTATAGAAAATAAGCTCTGTTTCCCCAATGACATTCCTATCCCCCTGAAGATGCCACCTGTGGCCAGTGGACTGCTGAATAGAGAACAACAAGTATGTAACCAATGCCCATGTGATTAGGAATGAACAGTACATACTCAGTGTCAATTTTTTCAACTTCATCATTGTCGGCTTTCTTCATTAAAAGCATAGGTTTCTGTCCTTCACCAGCTGAAAGGATCATAAGAAAATTAGTGCCATCAATTAACTAAGAGAAAGGGGAACTCCCAGTCAAGCACAAGACCCATCTATCTATCAACAAAACTATGTATTAAAGTTTTTTGGTGACTCTGTCTAGAGGATCACTGAGACACCAGTGCAGCAAGCCAGGCAGCTGTCACGGAAAAAGAACTATGTCTTTAGAGGCTATGTCGGTCAAGGAGACACACAGAGGCATAAGGAGTGGAGTTACATAATGCATACCTTCAGCAACACCTTCATTCAATCTGCAAGCCTGATCCTTTTGCCTTCATCTCTACCCACATTGCTAGTAATACTACCAGAGGCTTAGAAACTAAGCATTATTGTCACTCATTCCTTTACTTAAGGAATTTATTAAACATATGACACATGCCAATCATGAAGCTAGACTCTGAGAAAGGCTTTGACCTTGATTAGATGAAGAAGATCACCCTTGTGAAGGAGCTACTTAGAACAGGCTTAGAATGATGATTCAATACTATGATCATGATTAGTGCATCTGAAAAGACTTCACAAGGTTCAGAGCCCAGGAGCAAGTTGTCACTCTATGGCTTCATAAAGGAACACACACACACACACACACACACACACACACACACACACACACACACAAAGCAGGTAGATTAAGGGAAAATGAGAAGGCGGGAATAAGAGAGGTAAAACAGAAGGGAAAAGTGAATAAGGGCATATACTCAGAACAAAAGATGCAGGAAGAAATCCCTCCAGAGAAGAAAAACAGCAAAAACTTAGAAATGAACTCTAAGAAAGACAATGTATGGTATGCATCCCACATTTCTACGGACACTTTCTACTGGAAGGAACTCACCCAACTTCTGCTAGGAGGTTGCTACAATGGTTCAGGAGCCTGCAGAATATGCAGTCAGACCACAAGTACATCAAGCAAGTAAGGTACAGCAGATACACTTGGGCTGATGGCCATATTCTCAGGAATAGACTTACTTCATTCAGCAGGAGTCACACATATCTTTGAAGGGGGTTTTTCCTTCCTTTTCCTTGTGCTCCTCAACACAATTTCTAGGTTATCCTCAGGATCATTTGGTGATTGACCAAGATTTTAACCAAGATCCTGTTTCTCAATGTTTTTTTTTGGTCGGTTGTAGGGCTTGAACTCTGAGCATGAACGCTGTCCCTCAGCTCTTCAGCTCAAGGTAAGCACTCTACCACTTGAGCTACACTGTCACTTTCGGTTTTCTGGTGGTTGATTGGAGATAAGAGTTTCATGGACTTTCCTGCCGGGGCTGGCTTTAAACCGAGATCCTCAGATCTCAGCCTCCTCAGTAGCTAGGATTACAGGTGTGAGCCACCAGCCCAGCTTCTCAATGTTATTATCAGATGAATTATACTGGAAGACAACAAATCCATATCCTTGCTTTTATTTTAGGAAACTTGGCCCTTATCATGGAAATTCCCTTCCATTAGCTCAGGAATATAAAAATTGTTACGGTCATCAGTACCCAGATTGGAGTACTCAGATAGGAAGATCCTGGTGGGGGGGGTGGGGAGGATGGAAAGGGATGGGAAGGGGAAACAAAAGGGGAAGCTACAATGCATGATAAGAAATGTACTCATTATCTTGCCCATGTAATTGTAACCCCTCTGTACAGTATTTTCACAATAAAAAAAGTATATTCTCTGTATATTCCCTATACCTCTTCCTCACACATGTCACATTACTAAGGACAAATTCAACAAGCTGGACAATGTGATATTAAAAGTCACAGTTAAAGCCAGGAGCTGGTGGCTCACGGCTGTAATCCTAACTACTCGGGAGGCTGAGATCTGAGGATTGCGGTTCAAAGCCAGCCCAGGCAGGAAAGTCCATGAGACTCTTATCTCCAATAAACCCACTCAAAAACCGAAGTGGTGCTCTGGCTCAAACGGTAGAGCACTCACCTTGAGCTGAAGAGCACAGGGACAGCGCCCAAGCCCAGAGTTCAAGCCCTACGACCAACCAAAAAAAAAGTCACAGTTAAGAATCTTGCTTACTTCATGCTGTTTTCCCCTGTTTGTCTTCTTTATTACTATTATTTTACTGAAAGCAGTGACATGTGAAAGAACAATCAAAGATCAGTGGCAAGTCACATTCTCTAAATAGCATGATATACTTGTTCAATGTTTCTCAAGTAGGAGTCTGTATACTTGGGTATATTCACTATTCCATAGCAAAATAAGAAAAAGTGGAGTTTCTTTTGCATCAAGTTAAAGTTCTATAATTTAGAAAAGACTGTTACATATTTTGTCATTATATGTTGGCTACATTTCTGGTACTCCCTAGCTTA